ATTAATTCTACTGCTTTTATTAGCAGCGAGAGTGGAGACACACATGCACACACACACACACACACACACAGAGTGGGCCGGTGACGAGCGCTGCATCCACCTCATCTGACAGCTAATGGCTTCATTAGGAGCAGCGTGTTAATTGGCCGACTTTGGGGAGACGCTCGTTAATGAGGATAAATAGATTCACACCTGAGCGGGGGCGCTACCCAGCCACGGCGGCACTGTGGGAACTCTGGATGGCGAGCAAACGTATGACCGCAGCCCCCTTTATTACATTATTATTATTATTGTGGAGTATGAGTGGACTTGACGGACCCCTGTCCCCTCCCTAGCAGCCTGAACACAGTTCTGTTTTCCTTGCCAGGCAGACTTATTAGCCGAGTGGTTGATTAGCACCAGGAGGCCAAAACAAAGAGCAGTATGTCAAAACAATTAGCCCCACTGTTTACCTCGCAGCTCCCAGGCTGACTGCTAAATGCATCTAATCCAGGGGAGGGAGGGAGAGAGGGAGAGAGAAAAGAGGGCATGGATTCGGCTCAGACAGTTGCAGAATAAAGGACAACAGCTGGTCCGTAGGCCTCTGTGTGTGTGTGTGTGTGTGTCTGTGTGTGTGTGATGGGAGCAGTCCTCGCCTCAATCCATCTGCTCTCCTGCCTAGATCTCCATCCTCTGCTGTCTGGTCATGACAGCTCTGAAACGCGCGCGCGCGCGCACACACACACACACACACACACACACACACACACACTCACTCTCTCTCACTCTCTCTCTCTCTCTCTCTCTCTCTCTCTCTCTCTCTCTCTCTCTCTCTCTCTCTCTCCACACCACTGAGAGGAGCTCATCTCGGGGGAGCAGGGGGTTGGACAGACAAAATGGAAGCGGGCGAGGCCGATCATTTACATAAGGGTAGGACGCAGAGACCCACTGAGGGACGCTGTGTGTTTGAGGGCCACGTTACTGTCCCGTGTGCTGGACTGTGTTACCACCTAGTGGCGGATGACGCGCTCTGCAGCTCATTCATGTTTGTTTTCTGGGAGGACACAAAGGGGAATGAAGCTGCCTTCATTTTAAAGAGTTTGTTGACATAAATTACCAGAAAAAAATTATGTTGTCACCACTCCTTCGATCCAACCATGAAAACACTTTTTTTTAAATTGCATTCAATGTTTTCGTATTAACAATGAATCAAATGACTGTGTAATGTGAAAATGATCACTTTTGGAGAATTCTCTCTAAACTCTGCAGATGCCCTCTGATCCGTTTCATCCTCTTTTAGCTTGTTGTTTTGGTTTTACAGCCCACAACTTAAGCGTTAGGATTTTATGGATACTCTTTTCATTTTGATTATTCTGTGTGAAAAAGCCAATTAATTAAGAAAATAATCGACATTGCGTTATTATTCTAATATGTCACTAAATAGTCTTTCTTGAGCAGCAATACAAGAACTTCCAAAATCTTTAACATATATTCCCAGCTGAACAATTAGCGATTAGCTTTCATTTATCAAACTCCGCATGGCATGGCTAACGTTACCTGTAGTGGACGAGGACGGACAGCTGCTCGACAAACCGTCAACGTAAACAGCATCTACTGGAGTCAAATGTAACCACACTTTGGATCTTTTTCTTCTCTCTGCCATGGACTGATCCGGAGTCTGTGTGTGTGTGTGTGTGTCAGAGTAAAGCACAAAGATACAGAGAGAGGAGATCTCACTCCGTAACTACCTAAAGTAGAGATAGCAGAACCGCTAACCCCGGACCTTATCGATACTCCGGGGTTTTACTCATTTAGAACCGGTTCCCGTTTATAACGGAGTTTCGGGGGAGCATCCCTAGTTTTGGTTCATTCTCAAGGCTCTCATCCAGTTAAAACACTGCTCTGATACCGACTGTGTGCTACCTGACCAACACCAAATGGCCGATGAATTTAGTGACGATAGTAGAGTATTCTGCAACTAAGAGCCAGATATTTTCTTCAGAGGTCGGTAGAGACCAAAGAAGAGCTAAAAGGAGAGTGTGTACTAGCCGGACCCCCAATGAACCCTGATGTCGCTCCGGTTCTGCTGGATGTGTGAATAGTTAGCCGTTTGCTAACACGTTCAACATATGACCTTAATAAAGGGATAATATGATAATGACGTGTTTACATCTTGTTCCACTTCCCTTAATTTATGATCGTTTCCAGATATCCGTCTATTACATCTCTGCAGCCAGCGCAACACAGAGGGTTACATCAGTCACACAAACTCTTTGCCAGTAAAAAGTTCAAATGAAACGTGTTCAGTGGAGTCTGTGGATGATCGAGAGTAAGAGGGCCGTCTTTGGAGACCGATCTAAGACAAACTAAACCGTGCTTTAAGTACCACAGACATTACTCAATCGTATTCTTACAAAGGACGAGATGAAATCTTAAGCTTAAAACGCCCTCATCTCATTCAATACACCCACTAACTGGTTCTGGTGCAGTAGCTGGTGGTGGCTAATGTTAGCAAACCAGTGGAATTTAATTTAGTACAAATTCAAGGTACTTGTACTTGAGTATTTCCATTTACTTGTTGCACCACATTTATCTTTAGTTACTTTGTTTCATACCTTTCCTGTCCAGTGAAAACTATGCATCAATTCTGATATTAAAATATGATTCACTTCCATTATTTGTTCAGAAAATTGTCTCGACTTCTTAAGCTAAATAAAATCTTTTATGAAGCCTCTTGGATCAGCTGGAAAATGCATCTTAGCAAAGCTGAAAACTCATGAAAAGTTGACTTTTTAGATATGTTCTCACAGGACGACGGTGCAGCAAAACATACGAGGATTTTACAGAATATGATGCATCGTTGTAGATTAAACTACCCAACAGTATATAAAGGATGCAACTTACACATTAATACAGCAGTAATATTCATCCAGAAACATTATGTACAGTTGTGTGAAAAAGTATTTGCCCCCTTCCTGATTCCTTATTTTTTTGCATGTTTGTCACACTTAAATGTTTCAGATCATCAAACAAATTTAAATATTAGACAAAGATAACACAAGTAAACACAAAATGCAGTTTTTAAATGAAGGTTTTTATTATTAAGGGGGCAAAAAAATCCAAACCTACATGGCCCTGTGTGAAAAAGTGATTGCCCCCTAAACCTAATAACTGGTTGGGCCACCCTTAGCAGCAACAACTGCAATCAAGCGTTTGCGATAACTGGCAATGAGTCTTTTACAGCGCTGTAGAGGAATTTTGGCCCACTCATCTTTGCAGAATTGTTGTAATTCAGCCACATTGGAGGGTTTTCGGGCATGAACCGCCTTTTTAAGGTCATGCCACAGCATCTCAATCGGATTTAGGTCGGGACTTTGACTAGGCCACTCCAACGTCTTCATTTTGTTTTTCTTAAGCCATTCAGAGGTGGACTTGCTGGTGTGTTTTGGATCATTGTCCTGCTGCAGAACCCAAGTGCGCTTCAGCTTGAGGTCACGAACAGATGGCCGGACATTCTCCTTCAGGATTTTTTGGTAGACAGCAGAATTCATGGTTCCATTTACCACAGCAAGTCTTCCAGGTCCTGAAGCAGCAAAACAGCCCCAGACCATCACACTACCACCACCATATTTTACTGTTGGTATGATGTTCCTTTTCTGAAATGCCGTGTTACTTTTACGCCAGATGTAATGGGACATACACCTTCCAAAAAGTTCAACTTTTGTCTCGTCAGTCCACAGAGTATTTTCCCAAAAGTCTTGGGGATCATCAAGATGTTTTCTGGCAAAACTGAGACGAGCCTTTATGTTCTTTTTGCTCAGCAGTGGTTTTCGTCTTGGAACTCTGCCATGCAGGCCATTTTTGCCCAGTCTCTTTCTTATGGTGGAGTCATGAACACTGACCTTAATTGAGGCAAGTGAGGCCTGCAGTTCTTTGGATGTTGTTCTGGGGTCTTTTGTGACCTCTTGGATGAGTCGTCGCTGCGCTCTTGGGGTAATTTTGGTCGGCCGGCCACTCCTGGGAAGGTTCACCACTGTTCCATGTTTTCACCATTTGTGGATAATGGCTCTCACTGTGGTTCGCTGGAGTTTTAAAGCTTTAGAAATGGCTTTGTAACCTTTTCCAGACTGATAGATCTCAATTACTTTGTTTCTCATTTGTTCCTGAATTTCTTTGGATCGCAGCATGATGTCTAGCTTTTGAGGATCTTTTGGTCTACCTCACTTTGTCAGGCAGGTCCTATTTAAGTGATTTCTTGATTGAGAACAGGTGTGGCAGTAATCAGGCCTGGGTGTGGCTAGAGAAATTGAACTCAGCTTTCCAAAGATGTGATAAACCAAAGTTAATTTATGTTTTAACAGGGGGGGGTCAATCACTTTTTCACACAGGGCCATGTAGGTTTGGATTTTTTTCCCCCTTAATAAAAACCTTCATTTAAAAACTGCATTTTGTGTTTACTTGTGTTATCTTTGTCTAATATTTAAATTTGTTTGATGATCTGAAACATTTAAGTGTGACAAACATGCAAAAAAATAAGAAATCAGGAAAGGGGCAAACACTTTTTCACACAACTGTATATAATAGTAAAACACTGACTTTTGATGCTTTAAGTACATTTAGCTGATACTACTTTCATGCCGTTACTGAAGTAAAAGGGTTAGAATGCAGAACTTTTACTTTAGTTGTATTTTCAGAATCTGAACACTTCAATGTGTGTAACTCACATCACTGAGTCAGTCTTCTCTACTTGTGTTAAACTAAGCTTCAGCATGTCGCAGATAAACGTCTCAATTGTTTTGTCAAAAAGGTAGAACAAGAAGAGAACACACACTTCTCCACCCAAACATTTATGGAAACCAATGCATCATCCTGTAATTTCCACTTGTGAACACTATGTTCAGCAAAAGTTTACACAATCTTGCCGTTATATATCGATTATTGGCTCCGTTCTTCTGAAGAGTTTTTTAATGTCTCACGAGTGGCCCGACGTCTGCAACAGAACAAACCAGCTCAGGCCCGGGTGCATGTCAATAATGATCTTTAATGTCAATATATACAGAACTTGAAAGAAAAATAGAATCTTAAAAATCAAATGAAATAAATACAATATCATACAATTTCCACAATGTCTTTTTGAAGAGATATCCATGGAATCTTTTTTGTTTTCTTTTTAATTCAGCCTCTGTGGTTCGACGGGGTGCATCCCGTCCCCCTCAGAGAAATCCCTACAGCTCCCCCACATGCTCCTCATATATATTTATATATATATTTTTTTTGCAAACTAGAATTTCTGTTATTGTTACATTGTTCCACCTTCAAACTCTAGACGTTAACATCTGCAGCTTTTCTTCTCTTTCGATACGCTGCGAGCATCACACAGTAACAGGAGTCAGATGGCGAACTTTGAAGGGAAAAGAAACACGCGTTCCGTCCACACATGCATTCATGGAACAAAAGTGCTGGCGGATGATTTTGATCCCGAGGAGACTTTCTAATCCGCCACAAGCAGAATCATATTTTTGTCATAATTTTTAGGAGAGGAAACAGTCTTCTGATGTCCCTCAGTCAATATCGTCCTGCCAGCACTCTCACACACAAACCATTAACTGCACTTTGAAGGAAAGAACTTTAAGACAGTGACAGATGACAAGGGAAGGAGACAGAACCGAGGAGGACAGCGGAGCGCAGATGAAGAGCAGAGTGAGGGAGTATGGGGCACAGTTTACCAAAAGCAGCTCGGAATCAGCCAATCACAGTGAAGGAGCACATCAGCTGGTGTGTTTCTTCCCCACGCGAGGAAGGGAGAATGAAAGGCGAGGAGGGCAAGTGCATATGAAAGCTGTGGAAATAAATACAAGTCTGTCTCCCCAGCAGTAACAGATATGCGAGTCTCCCCTCTTCCTCCTCAGCTGACTTCTTCACTATGCAACCTCGTCCAGTGTGAGTGTGCACATGTCGGGTGCGCCAAATAAATAGATTTAAAAAAAAAGGGAGACAGTAGGTCTGACTGGCCAGGACTTCGGTCTGTGTTTGTTTGCGTATGACAGTCCGACTGAGAGTGAGGTCAAAACTGGAGGGCGAGCGGTGTGTGTGTGTGTGTGTGTGTGTGTGTGTGTGTCTACATGTCAGTTGAGGTGAGTTTCTTCATGCTGCGTCTCTGGGCTAGACTGGACGCCGCCACGGGCTCCAACACCGGCTGACTCGTCTTCTGGCTCAGTGCTGAATAGGTTGCAGCCATGGCTCCCTGGAAAACAACAACATGAACATGCGTTTTTTACTTTTAAATAGATACAAGAATCCGGCTTTGACACTGTTGGTACCACTTGTGCTGCCGTGCTGTGAGTTTGCATTCTTACATTCTGGTGCAGGTCAGGGGATTGGCCTGTTTCGGAAGTTTTAGTATTGAGTTTGTGATGCTCGTTTCAACATGATACCATAGACTGTAAATAAGAAGTGGACGTAGCGGATGTCAGCCATTGGTTTGTGGCTCGCCGTTTTGAAGCCTTGAGTTTGGCATTTTGGCCGTCGCCATCTTGGCTACGAGTACAACCAAACGCTGAATCTTAAGGCAACCAAAATGTAATAGTTGACTTTCATGAACTGAAAACACACTGTGAAAGGGTTAAAGTTGTAAGACGAAAAGACGGACAACTCCCAGACTGGACAACACCGTGGTAGCGACCTGTCAATCACAAGGTAGCCCCGCCCTAAAGCATATCCTGATTTATGGTCCAATTGACTCTAAATGGACCATAGTTTACTAAATGAACATCATGCTGTATGGAAGAAGACTTGAAACTAGAGATTGAGACCATAAACTCATGTTTACTGAGTCATTTTCTCATAGACTTCTATACAACCAAACATATTTTGCAACCAGAGGAGTCGCCCCCTGATGGTCACTAGAGAGAATGCAAGTTTTAATGCACCTCCGCATTGGCTTAACTTTTTAAAAGCGGAGGTTGCCGCCTGATGATAATTCTGTTAATTTAGAAAAACATCTGTATACACCCCCTCAACAAAAGAAGCAGAGCCATTCTTCCATCTTGCTGACTCAACGTTGTACTGCACTACATTTGTTTATCTCGTACCGCCCACTTATCCAGAGAAGAATCAGACACGCATTGTCATTGTCATCGTCAGCACTTGGACCAAACACTGGGCTTTTAACATCTGTAGGTTCATCTTAAAAACCCAGCTACAGTGACTCATGCTCGTGCAACCACAACTTCCTCGGGCACACACACACGTCAGTGTGCCTACAGTTGATAGAGAAGAGTCTGTGACATCCAGTCTGACAGAGAAGAAGCCAAATTGAGAATTCAAGGACGGGACTTGTTCAAGCCAACAAAGAGACTTGCAGTTACGCAAATAACCTGGGAGGATGGCTGCGGTGTGCAGCGAGGTCTTTCAATACAAACTATTTATCAGACCTTGAATCACATGCACTAGAGAGGAGCAGAGCAAAAAATAGATCTGTGACAGCAGTAAGAGCAGGATGACGACTCCACACTCAGCAACACCAAAATTGACAAAATTGTACACGGTCTCCGTCGTGCTAACAGAAAGGTAAAAATTTGATGTGGCCTTGAATCTATCAAACCGTCCATCCTGCTTGACGATAGTTGTGCCGTCTGCTGGTGGCTCAAGCACAACAATTAGCACTGAAAACTGTATTTCTATGAGTTGTAACTTATGTGTTGCATTACATGGATAAACATCCATAGTTATGTTGGCACCGAGGAATATTTGTAGGCCATTCAATGAGGGTCAAAAGGACTGAGAGGCTTGATGTTGTTAAAGTGGTGTTAAGAGAGAACCGAGACACAAAGTGACGCTCTCAATTTCCTGTTGGTCTTTGCTCAGACCCTCACCAGTGACCACAGGCTTTGGGTTGCATCTGAAGGAGCAGCATCACAGATGAGAGGCAGATTCCTGTGCAGGAAGGCTGGCCTCAGAGTTGATTGTCTCTACATGCAGCCGCTCGAGACAACCTCTCTCTGTAGGGGTGGTGATCGAGCGGTAGAGAGACTGCACCACTCGTGAGATCTCGCGGGGGGGGGGGGGGGGGAATGACCTGCTCTGTTGTGCTGTTTTTACTGTGGAAAGTTTCTGATCGCCTCCAGTTCACGATTTGTGATGAACGCTTATGTTTTGATGTTGGAAGTTCCTCTTCTTATTCGTCCCATCATTCCTAAACTTGGTGTCGATGTTGGAGTGCGAGGAAAAAAAACAAAACATTCACCGAAGTGAAGATTTTGAGAAGTGAACAAAGAAACATCCTTTTCTCTTGTTATCAGTCGCCTAGCAACAGTGCTCTCATGACTGAAATCACTTGAGCCCCAAACGCGTCGTGTCAGAAATACGACCTGATGAGTTCTGTTTGAAAGAAGACTCAGACCCGGAGAAGTGGCAAGATGAGCTAGAGGGACGTCTGCTCTGTTGGATGAGGCATTAGTAATAGATGAGGTGAGGAGTGCACGAATCCCTTTTATATGTCAAGGGTGTGACATCATGAAGCAGAGTTCAGACCCCCTTTCTGCTGAGGAGAGACAATGTGGTTCCATGTTTAGGAACACCGAGTGAAGTGGAATTTACCCATCAGGCCAACACATCTGAGATCCCAACTTTGAGATACCACTAGCCTTTAAGTTTGTTTATCGGGAGAAGAAAAAAAAAAAATATATATATATAAATATATATATATATATATGCCCACCTTGACGAGATGCGGTGCGTCATGGCGTGTGAGCTGGAAATGTGGAAGCGTGTCTCTGCAGGTGATCCAGGAATGCTTCAGGACCTGCTCTGCTCTGTATCGCTGATGAGGGTCCACATGGAGCATATGGGACAGCAGGTCCTGGAACGCACAGAGAACATCCAGTCTTAGAAAGTACACGTGGGACCAAAACAGTGAGATTGATCGATAAACTCACAATACGTCTCAGCTCATTTAAAAGCGCATAAGAAAAAGATGCTGTCTTTGATGTGGACTCGTTTGTTTTACAACAGAGCTTTGAGTCATGATTTATCACTCCGCACAGTCACAGAGTAAATCCAAATAAAATCTACATAGAACAGCCAAATTAGGGTTTGGTAGCACATTCCCACTGAGCAGAGTGCTTTACAGACATGAGAGGAAACATTCATATGAGACTTTAATGTGCTTTAAAGTCACCGCGCCGATGCAAATCAGCTTCAGATGCACACCACCTCATCGTGTACCTTTGAGGTGTCCGACACCGTATCCCAGTTGCCACCGGTCAAAGAGAACTTTCCGGATCCTATCCGGAGGAGAATCTCCTCCGGCGTGTCGTTGGGCCCGTTAGCAAACGGCGTGTACCTGACGGCAGGTTCAAAAACAACAAGCCGTAAGGAAACTGCAGCTTTGTGGGGATTAAACAACAGCATGACTATGACTATTTGAAATTGTGGTGAAATTTGCAACTAAAAAAATAAATAAATTTGAAAGTAATAACATTCACAGCACAAGCAAAGGCATTAAACTGGTTAAGAAAATGGACACTTCACTATTAATCATTCCCTCCCACATTAAGACAAATCATCAGTCTTACCCTGCCAGCATGGTGTACAGTAGAACTCCAAGGCTCCATATATCACAGGCTGCATCATAACCTTGCCGCATTAGTACCTGGAGCGACCCAAACAAAGAAAGGCAAACCTTTAGGGACTCGTATTGACAACGTCTTTGAAGCTGCTCCTCCCTCACACTTCATACCCTCTCATCTATATAGCCTCTCTGTCTGGTATCAAGTCTTGTATTCCCTCTAGCATTTGCTCTCTCTTCGCTTCCGTCGTTTCTCACCTCTGGCGCCACAAAGTTGGCGGTGTAACAGGGGGTGAGGAGCAAGCCGTTGCCCCCCCGAAGCTGCTTGGCGAATCCAAAGTCACAGATCCGGATGGAGTCGGGGTTTCCCGAGTCATCCATGTACAGGATGTTACTGGGCTTCAGGTCTCGGTGCACCACCTGGGGAAAAGGGGAGGAGAGGGAAAACGTTAAGAGGAGCAGATTCTCACTTGTGCTCTCTCGTGTGTGTGTGTGTGTGTGTGTGTGTGTACGGACACGTCCGCTCACCCCTTGGCAGTGGAGGTAGTCAACAGTCTTGGTGATGGTGTAGAGCACAGCACTGGCCTCTCTCTCAGAGAAAAACTTCTGCCTGAGGATCTTGTCCAGCAGCTCCCCTCCCTTCATCAGCTCCGTCACCAGGTAGACATACCTGCCCTCGTCATACACCTGTCTCACACACACACACGCACATGGTCAGTACGGCGGCAAACTAAAAATTGTTAGATCGTGAAACGCTCGCACGCGAAGGTTATACTGACGTCCTTCAGAGTGATGATGTTGGGATGCTGTCCGTATCGCATCAGGATCTCGATCTCTTCAGAGGGGTCCCTCTTACTTTTGTCTATAATCTGAGACACATGGAAACAATAAAGATACGAGCAGTTAGTCAAATTAGAGTGCCTACTGGCTGAATAGGAAAATAAAGAAATGTAGCAATCTAAAGTAGCTGAGATAACAGCAATGAGGCTTTAGCTTTGCTGCCCTCAGCTGCTGTGATGGCAACACTAACTACAACAGGCACGCTTAATCAATTTTCAGCAATTTCATACAGTCTCGAGAAAAAGTGGAGTTTAGTTCTTTTTTTTTTTTATCTCAATAAAAACATACACAGGTACTCAAGAGGTGCTGACCATGAGAGAAAATGGACACAGCCTCGACGGAAATATTGATACTGAACATGACTCATAACGCATCGGTGGCCCGAGGGTCAGAGGAGCAGGATTCTTACTGAAAGGTCACCAGTTTAATTCTGGAGGAGCAGGTTGAAACTAGGACTTAAACCCCGACAACTGCTCATGCGAGGCTGCTCAGTGGCCAACCAAAGTGTGATTTCATCAGGTAACTCTCAGGAGTAACTGTGGATTAGAAAAAAGGAAAAAGCTCACTACCTTCACAGCATAGTCCATGGCAGAGACTCGGTGTACACAGCGTTTACAGATGGAGTAGGAGCCGACCCCTATGTCCTCCTGCAGCTCGTAAAGATCGGAGAACTTGGTCGAGCCCCCGTGCATCTGGAGGGAAGAAGACTTGAACCGTTACACTATACATTCTTTAAACATCCGAATAAATGTACCATAAACTTGGTGTCGTGTGCTCCTCCGCGGCATTCGCTTCAACTCTCCGGTTCACAAATATATGCCAGAGTGGAACTTGTAGCAGTGACGTTGTTACGTATTCAGCGGTCAAACTGTCGTCGCATATTTAACCACCACTGTTGTGTTCGGCTCCCTGTTCACACATTACGTGGGAGGACAACGAGTGCGAGTGTGTGGTGTAGCGCTGCAGTGGAACCATGACAGTGGAATCTCTGCCATCACGTCCTTAATCTAGACCCCGATTTGACTTCATTATACAGAAATCCACATTTAAGTTTGCAGTGAACATTGTGAGCGAAGGCAGCCGGCAGAGGCAAGAAATGAAGTGTGTAAGCACCCCGAGAAGAGTTAAGCGTGCAACAGAGTTCAACTACAAATGCTAAAGTGCAGCGACTGAGCGTCACACAAAATCTAAAGACTAAAACAATACCTGCGTGTGACCTTCATGCATGTAGGTTTAATATGCGCATAATTAACCTGTGTAAATTGTGATGGAGGACATTTGCAAAGTGAAGACGCTGTGTGTTCACCTGAACTATAGGGAGTATGCTGAGCAGTGGGGAGCTCTTGTTCTCATCCATCGGGTTTGGAGCAACAAAACTGAAGCCTTTGAAGAGCTGGTGGGCGTTAGCACTGGGAGGGATACCTGGGGAGTCTAGATGTACAAAAGACAGTTCAGAATATATATGGTCATATGAATATACACACACACACACACCTGCTCAAATTTGGAACTATTTCTTGTAGTCAGTGCTCAGTTGCAGTTTCCATGGCTGCAGGAGTTGCTGTTGCGTTTAAGCTGAGAAGCGTGCGTGTGTGCGTGCGTGCGTGCGTGCGTGCGTGCGCGTGTGAATTTACCTTTAGGCGTTTTAGCGGTGAACTCTGGGTCGAAGCAGAACGTGTCATCTGGTTTACCTGCCGCAGGCTTGAACGGGGGCTGGAGCTCTCTCCTGTACAGTGTCTGCAGGTGATCCAATCACACGCACGCAGAAAACACACATATGACTTGTTAGAAATTAAACCCCACCACAGGCTGTTCTGCCAAGGAGACCCCTTCCCAGATTAACCCGCTCCCATCCCTCTCTATACAGCCCGGTCCAGCCAATAGCACTCACGCAGCGCTATTAGCGCACACACAGTGAGAACTGGCCCTCTGCCTGCCTGCCTGCCCACACACACACACACACACACACACACACACAGCGTGGCCAAGACTGATGGCCAAAACTCACCAAGCCAACCATTTGTTAGGTGTGAAGCCTCAACAGAAGCTGGAGAGTTACATGTGTGTGACAAATGAGAAGGCTGCGTGTGTGTGAGAAATGAGAAGGCTGCGCGCGCGTGTGTGTGTGTGTGTGTGTGTGTGTTCTCACATTCCAGTCGATGGTGGAAAAGAAAGCGTGGCGTTTGATCTCCTCCACTCCGTCGGGCCCGGCCCCTAAAGACACAGATCGCTCTGGTTCAGTTAACCTGGCAGGGCAGTTTTTATTGTTCGTAAAGGATCAACAACACGTTCACACGTTTTTTTTCTTCTTCCTCTCAGCATGTGATTTAAGCAGGCGCCAAAATGCTAACAAGCTCAAGCAAGTGGCGCAATGTGAGGAGCGACACACACACACACACACACACACACACACACACACACACACACACACACACACACACACACACACACACACAGTATTTTATTTAGTTTCAACAGGTCTACGCACTCACTGGCGCACCTTACCTAGCCTGTTAGCAGGGTTACGTTTAAACAGCATTCTCAGCAAACTCTGGGCTTCCAAACTCAGGAACTGGGGCATTCCCAACTTCGCTCTGCAGGGGGCAGAGAGGAGCAGAGAGCGACAGGTGGATATGGACACAAAGATGAGCTACGGGGAGATTATTTCTTGCTTAACTTTCTCAATCACGCAGCGCCGAGCGACTCACTTGAGAATCATGTTCATGGTCTCATTTCGGTCTTTGCCTTGGAACGGTAACGTCCCCGTTAGCATCTCAAACTGCAATGAAAGAAAAAGGAACATTATCAACAGGTTTTTTTTTGTTTTTTAACCAGTCAATATTGATGAAAGCAGCCCGTTTCCGTACCATAAGCACTCCCAGAGACCACCAGTCGGCACTCTGTGTGTGTCCTCTCCTGTTGACCACCTCAGGGGCCATATACTCCACCGTACCACAGAAGGAATACGCCTTCTTATCAGCATCTACTGACTCTTTACTCAAGCCAAAGTCTGCGCGACAGCAAAGCAAAAACGGTGAGACACACAGCCGACCGGACGGCCACATCCAGTCTTTATAGCGTGCAGAGCTTTTATTCTTTTAGGCGTTGGCAAAAGACACGTAAAAAAAATAGCTGCTGAGGAAAGTCAGTCTGAGGACAAAAATGGAGTCATGAATCTATTCTCAGCAAAGACACATTTAACATGAAACAGTAATTACAGACTAATAACTAGATCAGACTCTTCAATTAATAACTTTTTACATTTAGGTATTTTGAGTCAGAAGCATACCTGTTAACTTTATGTGTCCAGCTTCATCAAGTAAGATGCTGAAAGACAAGAAACAGGTTTCCCGTGGAGGTGAGCTTCAACCAGCATTACGACATGTTTTACAGTCATCTCGTGCCTCAAACATCACTTGGAGGTGTTGGGAAATCTTTCTCTTATGTTCTTAAGCTCTGGAGGTTTGAAATGGACTGCTAGTGGTGAGGAATAACAGGTTGGAGGACTCCCAATTAAAGCCACACTGTACACATCCGGTCACAGATTGTGAAACTACTCAGGCAAGTCAGCAATGTGTGAGTTGGTATATGAGTCAGTGTGACAATAGATGTTTAGTGACGTTATGGGGAGGGTCGCGTGTAAAGTACAGGAAAACACTGAAACACATTTAATTCATTAACGCATATGATTGTTATTATCTGTAAGTGATGAAAAACAAATGTCACTAATTGTCACTTTTTTCCCTCACTATATCAGGTATTAAATCCGTTAAACGCCCTCTGCTCTGTGTTAATCACAGCAATGTCTGACAAATGTATCAACTTGCTGAAACTGGCAGGGGACGACGGACAGAGCCGTACAGTTTACATGTTCAAGGCAAAAAATCCGTGGTTTTGTATTTACATCTACAGTAAGTTTGACGACGACAGTGGGGGGGAGGGTTGGAGTGTGAGGGGGTCAAAGGTGAAGGCGAAGTCTAGGATTCTTACTTCTCTGGCTTGAGATCTCTGTAAACTATGCCCAGGCTGTGCAGGTGGTCGAGGGCCAGGGCCAGCTCTGCAAGGTAGAATTTCACATCTTCCTCTGTAAACATAACCTGATAAGAACTGGACAAATTTACTCTCTGAACTAAGGAGAGAAGAGATATTCAGCAGCAAAGAAAGAAAAAAAAAAAAAAAAAAAGACAACTTCAATATCACGCTTCAGTGACCACAAACAGAGAAAACAGAGCGTTATTATTGTCACAATATCAACATTTCAAAGAGGTTACACGACTCAGCGAGCTGTTGGTTTGACATTTTGCCGGCAGCTATCGCTTCGGCTCCGAGGCTGGCTTTCAACACAAGGTCTATCTGGAGGACAATCACGCATGGAACGCATTTGAAAAGGGCTGATTTGAGCCTCTAACTGACAAACAACAATCTCAAGGCGAAATAAGGTTCCAGGAAAAGCACTCGTGTTTCAATCAAAGTTGCAATTTGAATAAAAAGCAAACAGAGAACACGAGAGACAAATGACTTGGCCGTGCATATGCTCTTATAAAATGAATAAATTTTTTATTTTTGGCATACCAAATTTGCACCTGTTCCATTTGTCAGCTTAACAATTCCACAGGGGGGGGGGGGGCGTTAGAATAACGTTGTGGCGTACGTAGTTCTGATTTTCACAAACATGTTTAAAGCATTAGGGATCTCAAAAAAAGAACAAAAAGACCATTAAATACTAGAATGACAAGGACATGCTGTACTTTTCTTTGCAGACAGAAACAGTTCCAAATACACTTTAAGTATAATGAGATGTTGGGCAACACAACGTCAGCTTACCTCTTTGGATAAGCGAGTGAATACATCCCCTCCCCTGAGAAAGTCCAGTATTAAATACAGTTTCCCTTCTGTCTGAAAGGCTGGGAGACAGAAGGGAGAAAGTCAATTAATGATATTGACAGAATAAAAGTAGATATTAGCCTGATCCGTTTTTAAATCATTGTTTTTAATGTGTATTGTGGCAATCTTGTCTATTAAACACTAATAATATAAACGTAACTAATCAGGACTAATTACTGTTCAATATCTGTGTTATACCTCAAACTACTCTGATAAATAATGTTTCTGACTGGACCATGAAGATGTTACATAAGCAGCTTATCCCTACCTGTACTGGGATGTAATCTGTATGATTTATATATAAACGCCTGCGCACTATTGTAAAAAGAGCTTCTCTTACCGTAGTGCAACTTCACTATGAAGGGATGATTGACTTCCACTAAAATGTCTCTTTCCATCTTAGTGCGAACTCTGTCCCTGACTGTAGAGACAACACAGACGGGG